CCTCTCCAGCACCACAACTCAAGGGCATCAATCTTTCTTCGGTCTTTCTTATTCATTCTCCAGATCTCTGATGCATAGCAGATAAGTGCAAAGACCATGTCCTGGATCAGATGCACTTTAGTCTCTAGATTGATATCTTGGCACTTCAGCACTCTTGAGGTCTCTGAAAGCAGATTTTCCTAATATAATTCACCTTTTCATTTCCAGGCTGTTGGTATTCTTTCTCCATACCTATTCAATCTGTATGCTGAGAAAATTATTCGAGAAGCTGGACTCTATGAAGAAGAATGTGGCATCAGGATTGGAGGGAGATTCATCAAAAACCTGAATTATGCAGATGATACAACCTTTCTTGCTGAAAGTGAAGAGAACTTGAAATACTTGTTGCAAAAGATGAAAGAACAAAGCCTTCAATATGAATTGTATCTCAACGTCAAGAAAACAAATATTCTTACCTCTGGACCAAGAGGCAACATCATGATAGACGGAGAAAAAATAGAAATGTCAACTTCATCTTATTTGGATCCACACTAACATCCTTGGTAACTGGAAATTAGCAAACAGAGACGTCTTGGAGAAAAGTCCAGCTAGAATGCTCCTTGAAGGTAAGGATGATAAAGCTTTGCCTTATATACTTCAGGCATCTTGCTAGGAGAGCCTATTCCTCAGAAAGGGACATCACGCTGGGAAAGGCAGAAGGTTGGCAAAGAAGAGTCCTGTACTCTAGTGGGTCTTTCCCCAAGATACCTCTACTTGTTCTTTTGACAGTCAAAGGAATATTCAATGCTCGTCTCCAACACCACAACTCAAAGGCATCAGTTTTTCTTACATCGTCCTTATTCACTGTCCTGCTCTCAGATTCATGGCAAGTGATCAGGATGACTATGACCTGAATCAGAGGCACCTCACATAGTCTTCAACCTGGTATCATTGCTCCTCAATAATTTGGAGAGGTCCCTGACTGCAGACTTTCTTAATGCAATGTGTTTGCTAACTGCCTGTCTTCTGGTACCAAGGCTGTTAGTGTGTATCCAAATAAGATGAAGTCCGACAGTTCTATCTTTTCTCCATCTATCATGATGTTGCCTACCAGTCCAGAGGTAAGAATATTTGTTTTCTGACCCTTGGTCAGGTGACTTAACACAGTGACTGTATGATATGGAAGTGAGGGCAAAAGATAGGACAAGATTTAGAATTGTTGTTCATAGGTTCA